CTTTTTTTGCATCACATTACATTCGGGATAGAAGGAGACCGAGAAAACAAGAAGCATAAATGCAGCTTGACGAGGTCTCGAACCCCCGCCCCCTTTCCAGTCAAGAGCTGTGGCAACAAAGAACACAAAATAAACAAAACGCATATTGGTCAAAACACAAAGAACGAAATTATTTGGGCCAACAATTCAAAACATAACATTGTAGCACGGCAAAAAGTCTACTCTAACAATTCGATAAGAAGAAAAAAAAAGAATAATTATAGCAACAAAAAGCCACTTATTTAGGGACATAGAGAACATAATTCAGCACTGATAATAAATTGTTACTAAGCTTCTTTCGAAGAGACAAACAATAGCTAGACACACTAGGCCATTAGGTAAAACCATTCTAAAACTTTGATGGGTCATTCGGGATACGGCCCATTCGTCACATGTCGATTCGTCATAGGGCAACTGGTAACAGGCCCGTTCGTCACAGCGGAACATTGGTCACAGGGTGATTCGTCACGCTGGCAGTTCGTCACACAACGACTTCAAGATTGTTAAACGTTTTTTTTTTTTTTTTTTCTATCTTGTTTTTTTAGAAAAGTTACGAAAGGGGGCCACTTAACTAAATCCGTACAAGGCCAGTGAGGTTGACTACGGGAAACAAAAGCATGTCCCAATGACCCCAAGTTAAGGCAGCATGCAGCGTTTAGCCTGCATGTTGTCTTATCGGGGTCACATTTCTTACAAAAGACCTTCGAGAACATAAAGTTCACAATTAAAAAAAAAAAAAAACACCGAACGCGATTCTTTCTTTTTTTCTTTTTTTTTTTTTTTTTTTGCCCTGTTTCAGGGCTTATTATGCCGGTTGCCCTCCGATTACAAAAATATCACGAGTCTCGATTTCTAAATGGAGGTAGTTACTACTAAGAGAGGTGGCGATATGCTTCTTCACGAAGGACATTCATTAAGGTTTACGAAACTACGTTGTATTGGGCCTGCCGCCGAAGAGGAGTTTTTAAAACTAAAATAGTCACCGATCACGCCAAGACTCGAGTAATCTCTTATTCAGGAGACCATACGCATGCATTTGACAACGTGTAGTGCACGAAAGCACCCAATGTCAAAAACCCCGTATCAAATGCCCCGCGGCGAACGCCCCGGCCTTTTCGCCCCGCTTTCAAAATGCCCCAATTTCGAAAGCCCATGACGCGAATGCCCCGTGTCAGATGGCCGGGTCCTCAGTGCGAGGGCGGAGCATTCTGCTTTTAACTAAGCGACAGTAAGTGCGCACGCGAGCTGTGTAACAATCATGCCGTACCCGGGACTCAAGTATAAGGAATAAATAGATAAAGCTTCCCCTTCTTCAAGCGTACGCTCTACATATTCACATCTTGTGGCGACGGTTCTGTCAAAACTGCTAACCCGCAGATAGTGGCGCTGTACTTATTGCATATACAGCACCAAACACCACTTCCATTCTTACGTCGTTCTAAAATATTTGCATCTACCTAGGTAGATAAAGTCTATAATTCTACGTCTGAATATATCTCTATGATAGCAGGGCGCGTGGCTGGTTATGCAGATTTATGCAATTAGCCACTTGTAGGACGTCATTCTAGGTTTTTCTGCGGTTCAAGTTGACAAAGAACAATGCTGGTTCAAGCGCGAAAAGAATGGGACGGGGGCATCGAGGACGGGGCTTTTGGCACGGGGGGAATACGGGACGGGGTAATTGAACACGAATCCCGGAGAAAAGCTCACCGGAGAAAAGCTCACCGGAGTAAAGCTCACCGGAGATAAGCTCACCGGAGAAAAGCTCACCGCAAAACCGGCGGATGCGGAGAAAAGCTCACCGATTGTATATTGCTCCCAAATTAATAATGGAGGCCCAGTGTTTTCTGCGGCTTACTCTCTAGGCAACTAAAGCCTAACTGAAGATTTTATGAACTTTAATAATAAGAGAGTTCGAAAACTTATGTCTCTCTAAAACCTAAAAATAAAAACTGTAAACACCGAAAATCCGAAAGCGCATGCGCAACAACGCGGTGCCTGAAATTCTCCTTGAAGTTTTTATTAACCTTTGAAAACACGATAAAACAGTCAGTAGGATATCGAAGCTTCTTTCTTCCACGGACACGCACGTTTTCTAGCCGTTCGCGCTGGCGCACGTTGCCTTTGTGTGATAGTGCCCTTCTAAGGTGAGCCACTCATGACTTTCAGAGCTGTACACTGGCACCGTTGTTACTCGTGACCTATATGAGAAATAGTCTTCTGTAAGGTAGCGAATAGGGCAAGTTGGTAAACGTTACACATGATGAAAACCGCTTAAACGACGACGACGGAGTGAAGACAACAAACACGACAGGACGAAGCTGTTCTCGCAACTAAAGTTTTCTTAGTGAAATTAACAGAAAGAAAACAGCGTAGCCGACACTGACTGCATCAACAAATACCTGCTCTTCTATAAGGCACTACAGAATACTTGGAGCTGAAACGGTTCACCACACTGCTATTCATATTATCTCGCAAAGAACAAACCTCTTTATTTGACAGAGCTACCGACGGAGCACTCAGTTGTCAATAAATTGTTTTCTTTTTTACCGGTGTACGATGTTCTGATATCATTTGTGCGGCTTCATTAATACACAGAGTGGGTGATTACTAATTTCTGAGGAATTAGTAAATATGCCCAATGACCTTCAAGAATATTACAAGAAAGAGGACATTTTTTCTTTTTTTTTTAATGAAGTGGCGAATGAGAATTGTGTTAAATTGCCATGTTTAACGCAAAATCCGCTAAGTTAAAACAAAAAAAAAATCGGTGAGCTTTTCTCCGCATCTGCCGGTTTCGCGGTGAGCTTTTCTCCGGTGAGCTTATCTCCGGTGAGCTTTTCTCCGGTGAGCTTTTCTCCGGTGAGCTTTTCTCCGCCGCCCATTGAACACGGGGTTTTTGAGACGTGGGGCTAATGACGCGGGGCTTTTGCGATGGGGATCCTGCACGCGGGGCAATCGTGCTACACCCTTGACAACACCAAGATAAACGTGCTTGGGTTCGTCATGAGATGAAGGAAAAAGCTGGTATGTACCAAAATCTGTTCCTGCTCTTGTATTCCCAAAACAAGGTCATTAATGTCCTTTATTCCAGTGGAAGGCCGTCTATCACCCCACCAAATGCTTCTGGCTGCGGTTGCCTGTGCACGTGACGACACTGTTTTGCAGATTCCCGCACCGCCAACACTCCGGCGCACCATCCGCAAGCAAAGGCAGCGGCCGAATTTCGAGTACAGCGTATCATCTTGCAGAGCCGACATACGATCGAATGCCCACAGAGTTCAAAGTAAAGTGTATTGCAGCGCGAAATCACAGTGCGCGACATATTATGATAATAATGACTGTTTTACCTGCATGCAGACCACAGCCAAAAAAAGACTCCTTTCTCCTCCACGATAGCGGAGAGGGCGACGGCGAAAGAATCCTGATCTTTGCCACCGAGCGCAACTTGAGCTGTCTGGCTCACGCGACTACGTGGTTCGCGGACAAGACCTTGAAAGTGACCCCGGCACAGTTCTATTAACTGTACACGGAGCATGCCACAGTCAACGGCGTGGTAAAGCCAATGGTTTACTGCTTGCTGCCCAACAAATCTGAAGCTACCTACAAAAGGTAAGCATTCAAGAGCTCTTATAAACGTATAAAACGAAACGCTCGGTGGTCCTATTATTGGATATGTGTTGAAACACTTCAAAATATGTTCGCTCGTTTTAAGGTTTTTCGACGTCGTTCTGAGTCACATGGGGGGCCAACTGCCTTGAGGTGGCTTACACGGACTTCAAGATAGCGGCCATCAACGATACAGGGATGTTTTTTTCAGTTCAGACAATTCAGATGACGAGTTTGCTGTTCTGGTATGCGGCATTCTATTTATACGTCTTATTGTTGTCTTCAGGTAAGCCAATTGGTTACTTTATTTCTTGTTGATTTTCAAATGGGAATGCATCCAGCATTGGCCTTCTTGCGAATCGCCGACATTCCCGAGGCCTTCGAGGAACTTCTCGAGGTTTTCCCCACCGATGCCTTACTCGTGGCGGACTACTTCGAGGACGTGTATATCGGGAGACCCCGTCGAAACGGCTTGTCGTCGGCCACCTCCCCTCTTCTGGTTTGCTCAGTCATAGAATCAACACTAGCAGGAAGGCCAACAAGGACGAACAACAGCATCGAAGCGTGGCTCCGGGGACTGCACGTAAGAACTGACCCAAACCTCTGAGAACTTGGACGCTTTCTGTAGTACATGTTTGCATTTGTGGCTCAAAATTTCAGTAGGGTGCCCACTTAAAAAGCTTTCTCCACGAGTGTGTGTGTTCTTTTTTCTTTTTATCCTTAACAGAGATGAAGCTGGCTCAAGCGGAGGGTGGCACGACATCTTCGACGGTGTCCAAGAAGCACGACGACAGCAAACGGCGTCTTCAAATCATTGTGAGCCGCTATAATGGTCGCAATCGTCTAGACACCCTGAGGGTGGCAGCTCGGAATATCACTTTTTAATTTTTTTTTATTTCGCTCAATAAATCTGTTGTTTTTTTAAGTACAACGATGACTTGTTTGGATGTTCCCTCTCTTTAGTAAAATTAAATATACCGTACTAATCTTTATTGCTTGCACAGCCAGGTGAATATATGTTGGGCAAATTCAAATATCCGGTTCGCACAGTGACAAACGTTCCTAGGGACAAATTCCCCTATGACGAATATTCCGCTGTGACGAACGGGCCTATTACCAGTTGGCCTATGACGAATGCGCACATGACAAACGGGCCTACACCCGGGTCATTCATAGTCATGACATTATACTCTTAAAAAAAGATCGGATTTCTTTCGGTGTGGATGTTAAAAATATATATATTTCGATCATTCAGATAATTAAGTATGTTGAGAAGTATGTACGATAACATCTGCTCACCGTAGCTTGTACTGCAATTAGGCACTTTCCAGTTTTCTAAGTGCTGAGTGGGGTCACTGCATGCCTACCGCCCAGCGTCCCATGAGTTCGATAAGGGGCCCGTAGACGGCTTGGGCTGCCCCAGTCCCGAGCACAAAGTCCAGGTGCACGAAGCCCGGCTCCGGCACCACGTAGTCGAACACGACGTTCGGGAGGCTCTTTCGGAGCGTGCCCACGTCCCGGGGGTTGGCGAAGTAGTCGCCTACGCTCGAGAACAGCGCCACGGGGGCCGTGATCCTACCCAGGTCGTACGCCGGACTCGTGGGCTGCCGGGGAAAAAAGATGGATTTCGAAAATGGTCCTGCGAAACATTTCGACCTTTCGCTAGGTTATCCAAGGACCAAGGAGCGTCCGCGAGCGTATAGTTACACGGGCTGCGCGTGATGCCTCCTGCAGCCGTCATGGACACTTTTTCAAAAGTGCGCGCCATTCTCTGTCCGCCATTGTTTGGGTACGTACTTTGAGCCCCTGTTGGACGCGAAAGCTGCGCCACCCTTCGGCGCAGAGTCGGCTCAGCTCGTATTGGGCACGAAAGCTACGTCAGAGGTCGGCGAAAACTCGGATCCAATTGGACGCGCCATTCCCAAGAAATGGCGACCGCTAATGTCGCTCCATAGACTTTTGAAAAAAAAGGTGTACTGTTCTAAAGCGAAATTTTCAAACTAGATAGCTCTTTGCACGCGCGTTCATCAATGCCTTATTGTGACTATCGCCGCGAGCACGGCCGAGCAAGCAGCGCCCGGTCACTGAATTCTAAAGATTCGCGTTTATTCTCACTCGGGCGAAACTTTTATCATTTCGTTAAGGTTTTTTGTTTTCGAAAGTGCCTGTTGATTCTCGCCTTGGACGTTCGATGCTCGAGCCTTCTAGGCCGAAGTTTCGCGATGCGGCGCACACTAGATAAGGAGCTGCCCGTGACCTTGTCGAGTCAGTCTCGATCTCGATTCCTGTTACGCAGCCAAATCGCCGCCCGGTTTTTTGCTGTATCGACGCTCGTTCTTTATTTTATTTGGCCCAAGTTTGCCGATTAAATCTTTCTTTTCAGTTCACAAATTCACCGTATCTTCGCCTTACTCCGTGACACTATATACTTCGAACCTTTTATGCGGATAAGGAGAGCGCGTGCAGCGCGTCTAAGTAGGTCTCTTTGAGGCTCGGGTAATGTGGGTGGCAAAACTTTTCTTGTAGAGGCCGGTTCACACATTTGCGTTTGACTGTGAGGGACTGCGTTGGGACCGCTCGTGAACGCATACGACGAGGGGACATACTTGCGCCATCTACCGGCAGCCCATGGAACACCCCCAATGCGCGTACATTTTCCAACCTTTTTTCAGGCATACAAGTTCCTCCACCGTGCGCTCAAAATAATTCTGGAACTACTGCAAGGAAACATTTCGCATGAATAGCGCGTATGTTTGATCTCTAAAATACTTTAAAGATATAAGCAAATCGGAGGTGTTAGCCGGGGTGCCTTGTAGATGGCGCCAGAGTACCAGTGTCTATCCTAGTGTCCTGTCATCGTGAGCAATCACAAGCCATCGCACTGTGCTGAATCAAACACAAACGTTAATGTGTGAACAGGCTTAAATTCTTCACACGCGTCATCATCTTCATAAGGAATTCATACTTTTAGTACGTATTCTTTCGCCGCAGTAATTATCTTCGTCATTATTGTGTCGTTATTTCCATGAGTACATATATAAGCAAAGGTGTGTAATGTGGCACGACGTAACACATATATAAAGCGTGCTCATCTAAACCTCATAAAACTTACATAAATATCACACTCACGAGCAATAAAAATGAAAACTCACAGCTAAGCAAGAAAAAGCCAACCACGTCTAAAAATTAACACAATTCTGAGAAATATTCAAGTTGTCATGCTTCCGATTATTTAGCGACTTTATTCTTCTTTATGGTGATTACATATATTAATTGGGAGTGTAACAAGTTAAAGCACATCTGGACTTAAAATAAACTTAATTTAGGTGATCAAATACAATAATCTCCGACATTTTTAAGTGTTTTGTGCAATCACTCGTGCAAGGTGCGTTCTTAGAGCCTTGCACGCGCAACATTTCGTCCAAGAAGGTTAACAGCTTAAGATGTAGTACAGAAGTTATCCGCCTATTTTCTAAGGTTAAAAGAACATTAAACTTTTCTCAAGCTTTCGGCTGATGATTGCTTGCGAATAGTACCTTCCAGAGCTGCTGAGATCGACCTCACAGCTTAAAAATACAATGAGACAAGCTCCATTATTACAATATTTTTGTGAGGTCTACTGCAATGAGAAGTGCAGAGTCATGTTCTGAAAATAAAGCCCTTTTATCCGGCCTTCATAAACATACTACGCGTCGAAAAAAAGAAACTGAAACTCTGTGAGAATGTGATGCTAGCCTTGGTGATAAAATGCGAAAGTTTGAGCGCGTGATGTTACCCGAATCAAATTAAACAGAAAAAAAATTTTTGAGCCGATATTTACCTAAGTTTAATATCCATTAAACCGAAATTTGAGCTTGTGGGCAACTGTAACAATTATGTGAGTGAAGAAACTTAGCAAGAAAGAAAACAATAGTGTCTCTCTAATTGGCAATTTGTTTTCACTGAAAAAAAATGCTACAGGTCCTCGGCTCAGGGAAACATTTCGGTTGTATATTTTTATTCAAGCAACGTAAGGCGCTCAAATTGACACATTTTATTACCACTGCTAGCGGCAGATCCTCACGAAGTTCGAGCGTTTTGCGATGCGTATAGGTTATTTATGCGGACAGAAAAACTGGTTTCAGTTTCTCAATCTAGCCCTGTGGATCTAAATTTCCGTGGCTACACACTCTAAATAAAAAGAAAAGAGCGATGAAAAGCTAGTGCATCTTTTTGTTTATGGATAAAGTCGTCAGGCAAGCATAAGAAACCATACACATCAGGCACGTAGCCAGGGGGGGGGGGCCCATGGGCCCCCCCCCCTGGCTACGTGCCTGATTCGGGGGGGGGGGGGGCCCATGGGCCCCCCCCCCCCCCCCCCCCGAAATCTTTCATTTTGCTGGGACCTTCTCTCCCCCCTTCCCGTCATACAGCATTTTGTCATGAGCAAATCCCTCCCCCCCCCCCCTCCTCCAAAAAAAAAAAAAAAAAACTAAATCCTGGCTACGTGCCTGATACACATTACAATGACACGTGACTTGACAACAGGGTGTCACGTTACAGTAGAGTGGAAAGTTGTGCTAGTTGGTAGTTATTCATCTTGGTTTTAAAAGCGCACAAAAGACGAGGACAGAGGTAAGAAACACAAACGACGGACGACTTGTCTGATTGTATTTTGAGCGAGAGAGCGCTCGTCCGTCGTTTGTGTTTCTTACTCTGTCCTCGTCTTTTGTGTGCTTTTAAAACCAAGATGTCACGTTACATTACGCTGTCAAGTCAGGTTGAGGACTTTAAGTAAACACCGCCTTCTGAATTACGTCTTACGTCTGCCACATTTAGCAGGACGGGCCGCTAGACCTCGCGCGTATGTGACGGGTTTTCGTGACGGTGTTTTGAGGCGTCAGGTCAAGCTTACCTCGGAGATCTTACCCTTCAAACGTTAAAGGCATTTTGAGCGCCAGTCTCAAATTTCTTATATTTTATCTCGAACTTTGGCCAAAGTATTCTAATTAAGGCTGTAAAGTCCTACTGATCTCGGCAATCAAGGCGCTCTTGGGCCACTCATTTCTTATCTGATTGTAGAAACGTTTTTGAAAGAGTGGTTTCATTTGAAAGGAAACATTATTTTTTTTTTTCCTCTGGTATAAACTTTTGTGTGTGTGAGGATATTTACAGTCACCAAAAGGGAGGGCCAAGCCGCGCTTGGTCCGCGAGTTCTCATTTTGTGAAAGGGTCATTAAAATAACATAATTCTGATTATGTTCTCTTATTAAGAACATATCAAAATAGAACCACCAAAAATAACTTTTTTTTTTAGTACTCCGTCTTGTTCAGCTCCTCAAGTATTGCTCAAATATATGTAAATTTCAGCACGGATATCTTTTCGGAACTGGAGTGTCATCGTCCGAATCTCGGACGCTTGTTGGTGCTGCTTAGAGACCTCCCAATTTTTGTTTTATTTGCGCTATTATCAGTAAAGCCTTCCTAGAATAAACTTGAAGCCTGGGCGAGTTGGTATGACATACTTAAAAGGTTAAAACAGCGCGAGAAACGACGGACAGGGTAAAGAAGGACACGGACAGAGCGCAGCGCTCTGTCCGTGTCCTTCTTTATCCTGTCCGTCGTTTTTTGCGCTGTTTTAACCTTTTAATTACTTCCTAGAATAAGCTGAAACTCGTTTTCTTTGTCACGGTGAAGTATGCATAGCCACAGATGACGTTTTGCTTCTTACGTGCCGTCTGTGCGCCACGAAAGTTGTTTTAAGTCAACAGCCGGCGGCGCTTTTTGATCGGAAAGGTTGGATTGGGTATTGTGTAAAAGAGAAAAAAGAATTCTTAATATTTCTTTTTTTACTGAGACAAAAAATTGAACAGCTCATTGCCACACTTTATATGTATATTTATTTCGAAAATATAACGTCGATCACCATTGCAGGTAGGAAAGTGAAACAAGCCTGGCCACGATCCTAACACAGGTAAAAAAGTGGCGAATAAAACGACTGGTATTACTCTTTCAAATTTAGGGGTTTCTAATCACACATTGATTCTGTAAGAACAAAACCTGTAAGAGTCACTTGCCAAAAGACAAAGAATTGAGAAGATGGCCTGCTTTTCGGGAACATTCACACGTTGTAGCGAAATTCCGTGCAGCATAAGTAACATGGTTATTGCAAAAAAAAAAAAAAAGTCTGGTATCTATTTAATGTCATCTTGAAAACGCAGGGCGTTGGTTATTATGTTTATTGCTTCCCAATTGGAACTTTGGCTCCGCCAATACCGTAATCCCACTGGCTCTGGAATTATAATGAGCTGCTCGGACCACGCTCTGCGTTACTTAAGCTCTCATTGAGTAGAACAAAATAGATGCTCGCCTGGCCATAACGGGCGATGTTGCCTCCAGTTCCATGGTCGTATTTCACGAAGTTTCTGGCTCGGATAATCTAAAGGAAAAATAAAACACAAACGCACGAGTTTATTTTTATTTTTTTTTGTTATTGGTCAAGTGGTTCTTATATATGTGTATGTTTTCTTCTGCGCAGATAATGGACTCCGCACACTAAATTGCGACCAGAAGAATTGAAGTTATGGTTGACTTTATCGCTTCCTGCGCGAGGCTAACCTCGGTATAATGACTATTTTAAGGCATCTATGACAGTGAACGAAGTTTTTGAGTTTCTGATCCATGAGCAGCCCGTGCAAACCGAAATTCGAGCCAACCAGAGGCTGCTCCGGGCGACATCAAGTGCACCACAAAATGGCTCACCTGTGCGAACTGCTCCACGTTTCTTTTTGACGCTCCGGACGGGATGTGGCTCGAGTAGACGGGAAGCCTCGACTAAGGAGAAAAAGTTGGGCGTTCAAACAAAGGAGCCTCATGAAAGGCATCACGGTGAGCAAGTGCGTCTACTTCTTGCGCAGTGGATACACTGACGTCACAGCACCGAGGTCTAATTGGGAGGATATTGGGTAGGCACAATTAAAGGGTGGCTGCCATTGTCTCAACTTCTCCCATCCCTAAAATCGGAGCCACACTCTAAAAAATGCCTGTGCGTCTACTTTCACGCACAACACCTTGGAGATCTAATCACCGCAACTTACGGAAGCAGCTCAGCGAATGACGATGCCGAAACATATCTTTAGACCAAAAAATTCAGTCTGAGTTGTAACATTAAGCAATGCAAAACGTCACGCTTGCATTGCTTAATGTCACAACTCAGACTGCTTTTTTGGTCTAAAGATATGTTTCGGCATCGTCATTCGCTGAGCTGCCTCCGTAAGTTGCGCTGATTGGCTCTCCGAGTGTTGTGCGTGAAAGCAAACGCACAGACTTTTTTAGAGTGCAACAACATCATCGTCTGCTCCTGGAGCAAAAGTAGCAGTGGCGTCAGGGTCTAGCCAAAGCCAATAGAGAAAGCGTTGGGCCATCTATGGTCCTCAGTAACCTCTTGCTGCCTTTTGGCTCCTCCCACAGGAGTGACGTCGCACCTAGGAACCGCCCAGCAACGACGGACGCCGTGCAAACCAACGTTAATGTGCGAACGATGACGCCTGTCCGCCATTACCGATTCCACGCACTATGCGTGCACATGCAGGGCCACACGTTATTCTGTATATAGACCTATAGTTTTCCGGGTTTTTCAACCGCTGGATGCTCTAACCACAATCGTCAAAGCTTTCGTTTTTTCACAATCCCCCCCCCCCCCCCAAAAAAAAAAAGAAAAATTAACTACACCATATATAGTTAGGGAAAATCAAATGGCCGTCCACGCTAAGCTCCCGACTTTGAGAGGTAAGAACGCTTGTTTTGACTTGAATATATGTTTTTTTTTATGAAATATAGCTGTCGTCACTGTTGTAACCGTGGGTGTACGGGTATCTAAATAATGATCAATAGCTTCGATCTTGGGACCCACTCTCTTGAACTAGCTGCGTGCTCACGAAGTTATGATGCTGATCCTGCCGAATTAAAGGCCATAATTCGGCTATTCGCAGCGGGAGACAGGGGTGTCCCCTGCTATGCGGTGTGCCGTTTATTTTCTCTGCTTTTCTTTCCAAACAATGAAAGAATGAAGGGGGAAACTTTGTTATTTTACGTATGAAAAAGCCAGATTCTTCTTTCCTTTTTTTTTATTTTTCGTTGACTGGTATGTACCGACACAATGATAAATGCTGGGATCTCAGCACGGTTAGGGACGGCCGTTCATTTGAATTTAAATTTATAATTTCAAAGCGAGCTTGCTTACTGTTCGCTGATAGCGTCTAAGGCTGAATCGCTCAAAGTTTATTTTCTAGTCTTCTGTCTTCCTCGAAGATGTTCAAATAACAAGATCGCTGTCTCATTGGTGAAAGAGCTCGGCTGAGACTCGGGTCCCCTTCAGCAATACCTCTTCAAGCGAGCCATCCCATTTCACAGCCTGACGTAGGATGGAGGAACTACCAGTAAGAAGAAACAAAGTTACGTAAAGCTAATATTTCGGACGAACCGATTTATCTCATATTACATTCTCACGGACAATCGTTTCTTTAGAAAACACGGGTGCTCTTCAGAAGATCTCGTGTAACGGTAACGTTCTGTAATGTATCAGCTCTCACCGACCCGAAAATTATGCCTAAAGCTCGTCAGCCCCGAACTAGAAGTTGCCAAGTGCCCCGCCGGAAAACAAGAAAAATTATCTAGGACTTAAGATGTCTAAAGTTGCACGACGCACCTAACGTACTCGATGCGTATGAAGGGCCGGGCGTTTGGGGGGAGAATAGACAAGTAGATGGGGAACTAACTTACTGTAATCCCTGAATAAACACCAAAGAGCGTAAATACTCGAAGCGGCTCACTGAAAAAAATAGTAATAAAATGGTCGTAGGTTAAAGGAAACCGAGAGTCCAGCATACAAGTATTGCGCCCCACCGCCGTTTGTGCTCAAAGATGGCGAACCGGGGCGTGGCAACGGCGTTCCTCTGAGGTGTCAGTGAAGTAATTAACGAGCTGCCAAACAGGCCACGCCCGTTCATAAAACTCTTCCCCTATCTGGGTCAGGCGTTGGGCCACCGAACGCCGGCGTCGTCTTGTAGTCCTAGCAATTGCTGTTTGTTTTTTTTCTCCTTTTTTACCACATTGGGACAATGTTTGTTTTACTAACGGAGGCAGCCACGCAGAAAGGGGAAAGCAAATAACTTGAAGGATAGCTCAAGCACGCGCAAAAACTAACGGGAAGAAAACGACCAAGATGTCGTCTTCTCTCCCGCCATGCACCAATGAGCAAACAGATGCGTGACGGAACTTTATCGCACACCTGATCACACCCTCCGACCACGCCACCTCCCTAAGGTGCGCTCTCCCTTCCATGCGCGAAGGGACGCGTTACTGAGCAACTTAGTGACTGTAGGCGGGCAGAAACTGAAAGACAGAAGGAGAGGCGCGTGAGGGCGTCAGAATGCCGAGCTCCGGTTGGAAGGAAAGCTAGCTGTATTCGTCTGCACTGCGTTCGTCGAACGTGCTAACGCCGGACGCCGGCCTTTCGCGTTCTAACGCCTCATTATATACCAACGTCGAGCGTAGCAAACTCGGCGAATAGCACATCGTACACAGATACTGATGTTATTTCCTCTCCCCTTTCTGCGTGGCTGCCTCCGTTACTAAAACAAACATTGTCCTAAAGCGGTAAAAAAAAAGGGGGGAACAGCAATTGCTAGGAGTACTAGACGACGCCGGCGTTCGGTGCCCGAACGCCTGACCCAGCACCATAGATAGGGGAAGAGTTTTATGAACGGGCGTGGCCTGTTTGACAGCTCGTTAATTACTTCACTGGCACCTCGAGGAACGCCGTTGCTACGCCCCAGTTCGCAATCTTTGAGCACAAACGGCGGTGGGGCGCAATACTTGTGTGCTGGACTCCCGGTTTCGTTCAACCTACGTCCGTTTCTTTTTTTTTTTTTTTTTTTTTTTGAGTCGTTTGGCGCACAACTTACACAGATACTCAATGGCCGCAGATATCGAGTCCCCAATCGCCGGCGAACGAGACGCGCGCGTTCCGCGCTACGCTGCGTTCGCTGCAAAGTTGAGAACGCCGGCGTCTGGCTTTTGCGCGTTCGACGAGCGCAGTGGAGATGAATGCAGCTATAGACCATTCCATTTAGCGCTCTCTGGGCGGCACCATTTTGTTCGACAGCAGCGCCCTCTCCATATATTCGGGAAATTCAACGGGTTCGGCGGGGTAAAACGAGAGAGAGGGCACGCGCCTGACTCCGCTAGCAGACGACAAACCGGGAGGTAGCCATTCTCCATCTTTGGGTTGTACCGGCGGGCTGTACGGAACATCGAACTCTCGCTCGTGGTTGCCGTTGTGAAGTGGTTCGTGTTCTTAGAATAGTTATGGCTACTCCAAAATCTGCCTATAGCTCTCTGTTGTTCTATTTCGGTAAATGGCCAACTAGCATATCTTTTTTCCGTTACTTAAATAGTAGTTGAGTCAGCCGGCAGTGCTACCCTCAACTACTGTGTGTATTGCGGCAAAAGAACATGTTTTTATTTATTATTTCAGACTTCCAATCATGGTCGCTAAAAGCCTACACCAGTACGAACTTTGTATAGTAAAAAAGGTACAGCAACCGGATTTATTTTTGACCGGATGAGAACGGCCAATCTGACACAGTTTTCTCTATTTTTTTTTTTATTTGCACGCAGATGACAGCGCAATTGGACCCTGTTAGTCCTTTTATCTAGCATAGTATTACACGATAACTGGCATACTAAAACCTGCGCACCTGCGCTTGAAATTTCCAAATGACGAGATTTTAAATCGAGTTTGCAAGCCAGTCTGATGGTAGGTACAGCCCACTCGGCGGAGCGGACGACATAAGGGGAGAGAGGGAGAGGGCATTTTTTTTCTCTATTACCCTCTCTGCTATGACCCTAATGGAACGGTCTATAGACCTGTTCTGTGTACTCTCGTCCCCAGCCACCTAATAGGCGTATCCGGTATGGGCGACGAAAAAATAATCCAACGTTTCAACCTGCAAATAGTAAAAAAATAAAGGGGAGGCAAAACGAGAAAGTGTGACGGTTACGCTTATATCCTAAATGCCTTCTAATGGAGTGGCAAAGGCAAAACAATGTTTTCGCCCATACTGGAAGTGACGTCAATTCAAGATGGCGGCGCCCTTGTGAAAAGGGTCTATACCTTTGCGCCTACCCACTAATCATTCCAAGCAAAGCTCGGCCTGGTGATGCCCTCTCCTTCAGCTTCTGCCCGCATACTGCAACGCGTGGTTCGGACGCCCTTATCGGCGCGGTACGTGCTTGTTTCTGTGACCACGCAGTGGCCACGCCTCATATGCAAACGCGGACTCGTTTTCACCTCAAGAACCACAGCGAAAAAAAAAAATGTCGGTTCTTTGCGAAGCATTATTAATTTCTCTCTTAATGTCGAGAAATATGATATATATGTAGAGGCGATTTAGATTCTATATAGGTTATCTAATCAAAACGTATAGAATTTCAAACGCCCCCCCCCCCCCCCCAAAAAAAAAAAAAAAGCATATCTTCTTTCTCTTACAACTAAAGGCCGGTTCAGACGCTTGCGTTTGAGTGCGTTTGACTGCGTTGCGTCGAGAACCGAAAGCGAGTCACCGACACATCTGTCCTTCTTATGGAGCGTGGAATGCAATTCAAGGGATCATCTTGGCACGCGATATATGCAGCACGGATGTCCTGGTTTCTCGCTGCCGCAACGCAGTCAAACGCAGTCAAACGCAACTGTGTGAATTAGGCTTAAGTCTTGCAAGACTACCTCGCGCGACGTATAAACAATACACAAAACTTTTTTTTCTTGAGGTGAAAACAAGTATAGTCTGTAAACAGCGGGTAGGTTTATACCGGGAGCAACTGCACAAACCTTCTTACATAAAATCTCTTTCTGGGGCAGTTGGTTCACCTATATGAACGGTGATTCAAGGAGAGGCCAGGCTCTTTAAATCGACCGCAAAAAGCGGTTTCTTAACCTATCGCGCAACGATTTTGTGCAGCTTTTTTCACAGATGGTGCATTTTTTTTTTGTAAAATATGCAAAGAACGAGCTTACCTGAGGAAAAAGTAAAAAAATAAAAAGGCTTAACTTTTATGGATACGCAGCGAAGCCACCGCTCCTGAACAATAGGGCGCTTTTTGGCAAGGGAGACGAGATGGCGCAATCGGTCGCAACGCCAACTGCCGCCAACGAAGCTGCATACGGCGCCGAGAGCCGGCGTCATCAGCAGACGATCTTTTTGACTCAAAAGCGGTGCGCGTTCCATAGGCGGTGACAGTTACATAAACGATAACAGGAGCGGTAAGAACAACGAACTCCAAAGCATTCGACATAAGTACCCCGAAAAGAAACGGTCAAACTAGCCCGACAAACTATTGTTTTCATCGATTATGTGTCCATTATGCATAAGCAACTGACATCGAAAAAGCTAGTGCCGCTTTTGAGTCGAAAAGATCGTCTGCTAATAACGTCGGCTCTCGGCGCCGTATGCTGGTTCGTTGGCGGCAGTTGGCATCGCGACCGCTTGCGCCATCTCTTGTCTCCCGTGCAAAACGGTGCCGTATTGTTTGTAGACCGGCGGCCTCGCTGCGTTTCCATAGGAGTCGAGCCTTTTTCTTCTTTTAGAGCGCAGCTCTTAGGCGCCCGTTTCCGGCTTGAGCGGCGTCGGCGTCGCCGTCGGCGTCGCCGTCGCCGTCGGCGTAACCGCGCGGTGCATTATGGGTAAATTTTTCCGAAGGGACCCGAGGACTCCCGAAGGAACCCGAAATCGTCCCGAAGGAACCCGAGGTCCTTCGGGAGGACCTCGGGTCCCTTCGGGAAGACCTCGGGTTTCTTCGGTAGGACCTCGGGAGGACCTTGGGTTCCTTCGGAAGTTGCATGCAACAGGTTGCATGCAACCTGATGACGTCATCGTCATCCGCATCGTCATCGTCATCATCACTGGTGACGTCCAGTGACGTCACTGATGACGTCATTGGCATCGTCATCGTCATCATCACTGATGACGTCATTGGCATCCGCGTCGTCATCGTCATCATCACTGATGACGTCATCAGTGACGTCACTGATGACGTCATCAAATCGTCATTGTCAAGGTCACGTGACCCCCAGGTCAGGTGACCTTGAGGGTCACGTGACCTGGGGGGTCACGTGACCCCTGAGGTCACTTGACCTCTTAAGGTCAGGCGACCCCACTGAGGTCACGTGACCCCCTGGAGTCACGTGAACCCCCTGAGGTCACGTGACCCCCTGAGGTCACGTGGCCGCCTGAGGTCACGTGATTCTCCTTTTGTCACGTGACCCCCCTCCCCCGAGGTCACGTGACCCCCTTGACGTCACCCGGCCTCCCATGAGCGTGACCTCAAGGAGTCACCTATCCCTCAGTACGCTTCCATCCTCCTCCTCAAGATCTGCGCGCCAACCGGCGTTACAAAGAATTGTAAACGGCTTTCATTTTTTTCACTTTTTCCTTGAGTAAGTTCGCCCTTTGCAAATTTTATAGGGAAACAATGCACCACCTGCGGGCAATGCTGCGCAAAATCGTAGCGCGATAGGTTATGAAATCAATCTTTTCGGTTTTATTGAAACAGCCTGGCCGCTGTTTGAGACACCCTGTAGTTTTTGCTTCATTAAAGTTATATCCTACAGCTTCAGAACTTACAGCGTCTGAGAATTATTTAATTATGTCGTCACTACTATAATCTACTCGTAGCGATTTCTTCGCACCGTGGGTGCGAAGCTAATGGCTTCGCACCCACGGTGCGATGGCACGCACGCTAATGGCAGAGTGTAAAACATAACGAGGGAGTTATTATAAAGAAAACAATACATAATTCGAATAAGACAGGAAAGCGTGAAATTAAGTCGCTTTATTTTACGAGGCGTAAAATAAAGCAAATTTGCAACTGCAATTGCACACCTCAGACTCAAAAGAACAAACCCACAACACCCAATAAAAAGGCGCGCTCCCTAAATGCATGCAGAATAAAGCAGCGGATGGTGCGACAATTTCCTGAATTAATGCAAAAGCAAGGTTCGCGCAGACTGCCTCAAGTGATTAATATATGAAGCGTTTCGGTAAAAAACATGTGCAAGTTTTTTTTTCTTTTTTTTACATTTTTAACATAGGGTAGGCAAAGAAGGAAACCTGGAAGTAATGACCCGAAAACACGGTTGTGTAAATGTCAAAATAACGCTTCGAATTAAAAACAATACACTCAAGCCAAAGAAATTTGACAGCAAGAACCATGGAAAGCTGGCAAACTAAATGCCCCAACATCTTTTCGCCCTCTTAGGTTCTTTTGGTTTTTTTCTTGAGGACCACGTTTTCTGATCTTTGCGATCAGTTAATAAAACCGTCTATTCTAACAGCTTTATGATTTGCTCACGTTCAACCCAAATATGTTGTGAGCTATTCACTTATGTCTTCTTTTTATACATGTTTTCGCCGAGAACGATAATAATGAACAAACTTGAGACTCTACTAAAGCGTTTGATGATGTTCATGAAAATCAAATGCACTCGACGGGCGGAAACCTTCATGGACTCTTGAATAAAGATCCCACAGCTCTGTATCCAAACACTGTATCAATGAATCGGTAGGCGCAAACGACTGAACACTTAAATTCGGTTGGCGGCTTGCGCCAACTAAACGGCGCTTATGATATTCCAACCTCAACCTAACATAGAAAACATGCAGGTAAAGCCTTTAATAGTAATATTGCTAAACCTTTTGATCCGTGTCACGAAACTGCCAGCTGGTGGGTGCACCTTCCACCCAACGGATATATTGGCTGGCGAACGCCATTTACTACGTGTCTTCCACAACGGCATGGCACTAAACCGCTTTCTTTGTATCCATACTTGGATCGAATATTTTACTAGACCCGTTCATACATTCAGACCCGTTCAGACCCGTTCAGACCTGTTCAGACCCGATTTTCAAACCCGTTCATACATTTGCGTTTGACTAAGAGCAACTGAGACAAGACCAATTTTTAAGGCCCGTCCACACTCTTGCGACCGAGTACGACCGAGAGAGACCAGACCGGTTTTTAAGCCTCTTGCGATCTCTTAGGACCAGCTCCGCTGCCGCGCATCCGGTCTTAAGAAGTCGCAAAAGGCTTAAAAACCGGTCTGGTCTTTCTCGGTCGTACTCGGTCGCAAGAGTGTGAACGGCGCTTGAGGCCTCTTATGACGGCTTGCGACAACCTCCACAGCAGCGCATCCGGTTGTAAGCCGTCGCAAGAGGCTTGACGCAGGACTTGTCTCAGACGGTTGTTGTCGATCGCAAGTGTGTGAGCGGGCCTTTACTCCGCGAAAATTCAGTGGCCTTTGGGTCGACAGCTCTAACATAGTTGAAATGACTGTACGCGCGTACATTCGGGGTTTTAAAGGAGTGGCTGCCACCTGGTACCGGACATTTCATCGAACGCCGTTTCGTCGATCGCCGTTTCATCGAAGCCGTTTCATCGAAGCCGTTTCATCGAATGCCGTTTCATCGAACGCCGTTTCATCCAACACCGTTTCATCGAAGCCGTTTCCTCGAACGCCGTTTTATCGAACGCCGTCTTATCGAACGCCAGGGTGGCATTCCCGCTTCCTGAAGCTGGTCGGAGGTGCCCATCCCGTGTTCTTGAAGTTTTTGACTTGCATCGCCGCAGAACATCAACTGACGGAAGACAAGCTGGAGGCGATGCTGAGTTCCCAAGAGCCTCCTCGCCAGAAGAAGGCCATAGCGGCAAGAAACGAGAAGGTCCGCCTTTTTTATGAGAACCGACGGGCCAAGGCTTTGGGGGACTTTTTGAGAGCAATTGCTCATCATTTGAAACGGTGAATGGCTGTCGCACGAACACATGAATCCCCGAAAGTTTTCAAATACAATTTGAAGTGACGTACTTACTTTTGACTGCATTGAGTCGTAAAACAAAAAAAAATGTTTCATTGTAGTTTCATAAATAGCACCTCAGCTTTAGCTACTGCAAGCTTCGGGCAGTAAAAAAGTATCAATAGAAAGACATGAGAGGCTAGGAGGTTCACATGGCTAAAGTTGTCGCGCCTGCCCGAAACCTAAGTCGCCTTCTGGCCTCCATGAGTTGGAGTGCGCTCTTACCGGGAGTGCGACGTTTTATTTATTTGTAACAATACCCTCAAGGCCCATCGGGTAATACAGAGGGGATGAACAGATAAGCACACTATGCAAAAAAAAAAAAAATCGGTACAAATATCCTCATGGGTTACTTGCATCAAAATAAATTGTAGCAGCTACAAGTTTGGTCATTAAAAAACCAGACGATGAAATGGGTGAATGACACGAAAATGCACTCGATCCGTGCATAAAAGAGTATCTTTCACAGTTTTTATATAAAAGGCATTTGATGAAACGGCGTTAGATGGAACGGCATTCGATGAAACGTCCATTTTTTCGATGAAACGGCGTTCGACGAAACGGCGTTCGATGAAATGTCCGGGAACCGCTGCCACCATCTATCGTCGTGGAAACCCGCCCAAGCAAACGAGACAGCCGTCTCTTTTGTCTTGGCGAATTCGGTATCTCTGTGCGTCACAGGCAGCCCTCTCCCTCGGCATAGCACGAAAATGCGAAAGCGTACGTGGACAGCACGACGTGCCTGCTTTCTCTCGGACGCGGGCTGTTTCTGGACTTATTGGAATGAGCGTAATAAGATGTCTCTTCGCAGTCAAGTACTACCTGGTATCAAGTTTTGACCGGTGTGCGTACCTCGTTGAGCTGGTTGAGGTTGACGCCAAACAGGAAGAAAGTTGGAAGCGAGCACATGTAGCGTAGGGGTGTCTCGCACAGATTGTAGAACAGCCGCTTCGTGGTCTCTGATCTCACTAGGAGGCGTCCTCGGTTGAAGGTGATGGCCGCTTCCTGCGCTAGCAATAGGGAGTTGTAGTAGACCGTTTTTCTCCTCCGCTACGGTATCCCCGAAGAAAACGCCGCAGCTGCACATGCGCGCCGCCAGCCTTATCTGCATAGTTTAAGGTCTTGTGGCGGATTACGGAGCGCTATCCGGGTGCTTAGCGGGCTGCGGAAACGGTCTATTACAATTGCCCAATGTTTCAGAACTCACGAGCTCTGGCAGCATCGACCTCGTGACGCTGAAGACGGTAAGAGAAAGAGAGAGGGTAGCGCAACTTGCCCCCGAGAATAGTCAGACAAGCGTCATGACGCCATAACAGTGAAAGGGAGCGCAGACACAGCCTGGACAAGAGTGCCGCCTCAGCATTAGGCTGAGCGTGTCCAGTCAGTGTGTCGAAGGACGTCTGACGTCGGTCTCCAGTCGAATTGCTTAGTTTGCGCCATTCACTCTGATTATTTTAGATGGCGTTGTGGTAAGTCGCCAGGCTGAAGCTTATAGACCCTTTTCATGGCAAACGCCGCCAGGCGATGCTCTAATGTTTGACGTCCCAGAGAACTTCCGGTTCATAAAAATAATGAACAAAGCCCACCTTAACAACGCGGCCTGAAATGTTCAAAAACGTATAACCACAAATTCTCCACGTGGAAGCTAATAGAACCAAGAGGCGCGGAATCTGTTAAAATGTTTCGCGCCGAAGGCCCTCGTTAAATCTCCAATTGTCTCGTCCGCGTAGCATTTTAGCTTTTTAGCACTGGTGGCATAAGCAAGCTCGACAGGCTTGCAAAGACGGAGCGACCGGAAGTCGCCTGGGACGCAAGCGGCAGTTCATGTTTGTAAACAGCAAAAGGTCTACACGACCGAGGGCCAGTACAGGTCACAGATTGAACACTGCGTCAGTCAACCTTCTTCTGGGAGACTGACTGAACGCGAGTTCCACCCGAACAATGATTTAGCACTCCTGTCCAATCTGTGCCCAGGGCTAGCCCTCAGCGGGTGGTCTATAAAGTTCAACCCTACGGCTTTCTGTCTAGGGGATGTTGGGAGGGCCCTCCCGCTCGCATTGCTTTCGCTGCCTCCGTCGTCTGCTACAGCAGGTTCAATGCCGAGCGCAAGTTCGTCTGCTTCTCGCACAGGGCTTGCGATGATGTCAGAACGACGAACTCTTATTGGCTGATTGAAAAAAAAGTGAAAGCCGCTTACAACTCCCTGTAACGCCGAATTGGAGCGCAGCTCTTGAGGAGGAGGAGGGAAGGGCGCTGGGGGGGTGGGTTAGACTAACCAGGAGGGGGGGGGGTCACGTGACCTTGGGGGTCACGTGACCCCCATTGCCGATGATGTCATCACTGACGTCACTGATGATGTCATCAGTGACGATGACGATGCGGGTACCGATGACGTCATCAGTGACGTCGCTGACGACGTCATCAGTGATGATGACGATGACGATGCGGATGCCGATGACGACATCAGTGACGTCACTGATGACGTCATCAGTGATGATGGCGATGACGATGCGGATGTCGGTAACGTCACCGGCATCCACATCGTCATCGTCATCATCACTGATGACGTCACCGGCATCCACATCGTCATCGTCATCATCACTGATGACGTCACCGGCATCCACATCGTCATCGTCATCATCACTGATGACGTCACCGGCATCCGCATCGTCATCGTCATCATCACTGATGACGTCATCATTACTGATGACGTCACCGGCATCCACATCGTCATCGTCATCATCACTGATGACGTCACCGGCATCCACATCGTCATCGTCATCGTCAACATCAGTGATGATGACGATGACGATGCGGATGCCGATGTGGATGCCGGTGACGTCATCAGTGATGATGACGATGACGATGTGGATGCCGGTGACGTCATCAGTGTCGATGACGTCATCGGGGGGTCACGCGACATCGCCGGGGGTCACGTGACCTCGGGGGGTCACGTGACCTCGAGGAGGGGGTCACGTGACCTCAGGGGAGTCACGTGACCTCGAGGAGGGAGTCACGTGACCTCAGGGGAGTCACGTGACTTCGGGGGGTCACGTGACCTCGGGGGGGGGTCACGTGACCTCGGGGGGGGGGGGCACGTGCCCCCCCACGAAGTCACGTGACCCCGGTGGGGGGCTCGCGCGGTGCATTATGAGACATTTCCCATGATGCACCGCGCGGTTACGCCGACGGCGACGGCGACGGCGACGCCGACGCCGCTCAAGCCGGAAACGGGCCCCTAAGAGCTGCGCTCTAAAAATAGTGGGTAGACCTCCAGGCATCGACCTCTGAGGTCGATGCCCCCTATCATCATTCATGATCATTTACTAAACCTTGAAGGCCCATACGGGCATTACACAAGGGGGGGGGGGTATTCTGCTGAAGAAACATTATATAAGGGAACAAACGAAAAGTGGGTTACATGCTGGAGAACATTGTTATATAAAGCTGCAAAAACAGGAAAAGAAACCTTCGAAACATTTTTAAGGAAAAACAGCTGGGTCAACAGAAAAATACACAAATAAAACATTTCTATAACCCGGTTTGGGTCGATGCCTGGGGGTCTACACACTATCTTTTGAATCAAAGCCAACCAGAGCTCGGCGACGTTCTGACGTCCACACAACTCCTGCACAAGAAACAGACGGCTTGCTTTCCGCATATAAGCTGATTCGCAAAAGCAAATCAATTAAACACTACAAATATCGATGTCCTTACGTTGTTCAGTATTTACATATTTTACCTTTGTCCTTTACGACAAAATCCGCCGTTTCTTTTCTTGTGACCTTAATGCACACCTTGTATACAGGTTCTTTGTTAAGGTCAAATTCGCTGTTCGATCAATGCTCCTGGCCCAAACGCGTCTCTGACGTCACGTCGCAGCGGCGGCGCTGCAGACGGCCGAAGGCTCGCCCAGACGCCGCACCTCCCGCAAATCTGGTTTCTGCTCACGCGCACTGCGCGCTTGGTGTGGGCAAATGGCTGTCGGTAAATAGAGAGCAGGTGCATACGGCCTTACCGTCAGAACGGGAGACACAGGAACCAGGAAGCGAATCGGGCTCCTGATGAAGCTCATGTTGGCCACGGGCGCCAGAGCCATAAGAAGCCTTATCTGCAAAACGCACGCATTGCACACTTCGCCCGCTAGTTTCCTGTACCGAAAAAGGGATGGCATATAAACGTCCAGCCCTAAACAGATCTTGCCGCAATCTTTGCCATACAGTCCCACATTCCACCAACGTTTTCACGTTTCTGGGGCCCACAGCCCCGCGGCGCCACCAGTATTATGAACGAATCTGGTGGCACACCGGGGTTAGTTCAAGTGTGCCTTGATTTCAGAGTGTTTCTAACTGCTCAATTGGGGTCACGTGGTTTATGGAACGCGTTTTCGATACGAGATGCGAGGAGGCAATGGACGTTTGTCGTCCGAAATTGTCTCTGACTTTCTGCCCGCTTTCTGCCTCGCCACGCGACAACGCAACAAGTGTGATCTTGTGACCAGTATGCGCCGTAGTTGTCCGCCATTAAATTGCAAACGCTCTCCATAATATGAGATGCACCCTCTCTTTAATCTAGGCTTTCTAGTTCGTTGCACGGCAGCTAGAGACATCTCCCGACATTTCTTTTCACTATTCAGGTGGTTGCTATAATGACCGCAGTGCGGCGCAGCTTGTATCATAAAAATTTAGTGCCGGAGGCCTATAGCTGATTTCTCACACACAATTGCCTCTCTTTTACACAAAATGCTTTAGGGCTAGGATCTTATAAAATAAAGCCTCCCCCCCCCCTTTTTTTTTTAAGTGTAAAAAAAATATTTAATATAAACATGTAACGCAAAGGTGTAGCACTCAAAGTTTAAGGAGCTCCCCGTTACATCTAGCGGAGAAACGTGAATTGATGTACAGTTATAGAATAATTTATATTATTCAATAATTTTGTCGACTACGCGCTTTTAGTTTTGCGGCACCAGTAAACTTAGCTGAATTTATTCTGACCTTACACAAATGCCTGGAACGCGTCACCACTGGTGTGTCTACCGCGTCATCATTTGTGTTACTTCGATTTCCTCCCGGTGACGTCATACAAGCAGTTTTACGTAGTAACGCGTTACTAGTAACGCGTTACCGTAATTTTGTTACTTCTTTGGTAACTTGTAACTGTAACGAGTTACTTTTTTTAAATATAACTTGTAACTGTAGTTCTATTACTTTTTCTGAGGTAACGATGAAAGTAACGACGTTACTTTTGTAGTTACTTTCCAGCTTTTTTATGAATAATAGATCACTGAACGAGTACAATTTAGTATTCCTTGCACTTTTCAAATCGTCTATTCCGACATTTCGAGTGTCAACTTGGCCTTGCACAAACTTGTGAATACGTTCTTTCTCAAGGGTGACAACGCGAATATAGCCACGTGTAGATTTCATGAAAAAAGATCGTTATCTTTACGTACGCGCTTGTACTTTGTGACTGAACACCTAAATCTTAGTGTCTTGAAGCACTATTTATGTTGTGGTTTTTTTTTTTTTTCTGCTAAAACGCTTTTTAATCGGGTGAATCAACCGTGAAACAACAATACACGCGGAGGGCACTGCGCATGTCCCGTATTTTGATTTGCGCCAATACTCTGGCGTGGAAACTTTCAAACACTAACTTCAAGAAGCAACTAACTGCTGCTAAGTTACAATATGAAGTAAAAAACGCACTTTTTAATTTTATGCAATAAAACTTGGTGAGGGGCGTTTTCTAGTTTTTCCTCATTTTTTTGTTATAGAAAAGTAACTGAAAAGTAACGTCGTTACTTTTTAAAGGTAGCTGTAACTGTAACGAGTTCCTCTTTTGTTGCGGTAACTGTAACGGTATCTTCGCTACTTTTTTCTTAAAGTGACTGTAACTGTAACGAATTACTTTTTAAAAGTAACTTAACCAAGACTGCATGCAAGATACAAGTGCCGCGTAATTTCCTGTCGCGATCTTGGCGTTGGTACAATGGCGGCGGCGGAAACGGTCGGCGCATGTTCTGCAGCAGCTCCTTCGGCAGCCAGGCGGTCGCAGGACGTCGACGGATGTAAAGGATGACGCGTTGATGCGCCGCGAGGGCAGCGACCCTATCGTCCGCTCGCCTTTTTTGCCAAAACTTCTACGACCATCCGCCAGGGTCGCGACATCCGGCAGCACGACACACCGCCTCGTGTAAGGTAATTTGTTGTGCCTTGGGGACCACTTTCGACGCACGAGTAAACACACCAGTCAAAGAAGCGTTCCAGGTGCCGTAGCATGTACCCGAATTTAAACTCTTCAAAATAAATGCGCAGCAAAGTTCAAAACAACCCGCCCATTCTGTCTCTAACCGTGGAATTAAGAAACCTATAATTTAAAAAAAAAAAAGTGTACTATTTCGTGTTTTGATGAAGCGATTAGCATATATTCGCATTTTCATCGCGCAATTCGCAAGAAACATGCTGAATGGCAGTAACTAGTTTCAACCTGTAAAAATATTTTGTAAAAGAGGGGAGCGCATGAAGGCATTCGTAGCTCGAGTTTCATAAAAATGCAAATGAGAAGGAGACTAGGCCTACAGAAAAACTATCACCTCATACATGCGAAAGACTTGATAAAAAAAAAATCTTTAAAAAATACACTTTTTTGTTGATGTTTTTTTTATGCGCAGTGTTCAACGTTGTCAGAGCTGGGAAAAATCTGTTCATTGATGGGAAACGTATGCTGTAGAAATGTTTAAAGCGTTGGCCGACGCTCGGGCGTGCCGTGAGGCCTGACCTTGTGGTTGTAGGCGGGCCTGTCGGCCAGCATGACCCAAGCGGCCGTGTTGCCCTGCGAGAAGCCTACGAAGAAGAGGGAGCTCTTGCCCGTGGCAGCCAGGACGAAGTCCACCAGGGCAGGGAAGTCGTACAGGCCCACCTCGTCGAGGCTGGGGAAATGGAATTGGTATACAAGCGCCGACTTTATCGACCATTCGCTCCACCTGAATGCTTCGTTGTGCTGACAAAAATAAAAAAAAAGGTTTTTTTATTGAAACATTAACATTAATGACTGTTTCATGTTTTCAACACTGTGAATATAATGCAAACTGGTTTGAAAGTAATGTTTATATCGTTGTTTTTTTTTAACTAAGTTTTTATTTATTTATTTCGTTTGTTTTTTGGTTTGAAAGTGTTTTTCTTTTGTTTCGTCAATAGACTTGCAGCGACAAAAATTGTCGTGCGCTTTACTACGCGATGCTGCATTGCGAAGCTTGATATGTATGCGTCCTTTTATTATCCTGCCTGCGACCCTCCAGCTGCGCAGTATGAAATCTGCGCAGTATGAAATCTGCGCAGTATGAAATAATAAAAAAAATACTGTAGTTGTACATGCCTCACTTGACGCAATATCAGCTGTCATTGTGATGACTCTGTTGTTGAACTCGTACCTTCTGCAGCCTACAATTCGTCCGACCAATTTTTTCATCACGTGCAAGCCATGTATTGTTCTGCTGAACGAAACAACCGATTATAGGACAAGGAGAAAAACAAATTGAAAAAATAAATAAAGGTTGGGGGAGATTGGCAGCAACCAACCAGAAGAGAAATCCTAGGAAAGTATGGGAGTTGCAGAAGCAAAAAAGTTGAGCCTCTTCCCTCACCTTCGCGAGTGCGAGTACCCACCTGAGTTATCCGAGCGGGTAGGTATTGCACTACGTGAGACTGTTTGCGCGAACACGACATGGGCACGTGTTCACAGTTTGTTTCGAAGTGAAATTGGTAAGCGCGAAATTGTAACGATTACGTTTATGTTCCAAATGAGCACTTAGCATCACACTAGTAGTTTTACTGCCAGACTTTTGATTCTAAAAGAAAGATAGCAAAATACAATAATTGCTGGCTCACGCTTACAATGCCGCACACTGTACGCTCCTATTTTAATGCAAAAAAGTGATACATGTGAGGAAGGTGGAAAGTCTCCCCAGCAACAAAATCCACGAATTAGCAATGGAGAGCAGAATAAACTAGTATCACAGACGATTCAATAACGTTTTTTTTTTTGTATTTATTTACCTTTAAAAAAAGCCACGTAAAAATGGTAATGTCATATATCAGGTTTGTTATTTTTCGCTAGTTCTTGGAAAAAGAGACAAAATGTATGCCGAACACTTTTTTGATGAAACGGTGAAGCCAAATAAACAAAAGCATTCGTGAATAAAATGTAAATTGAGAGAACTGGCGAATATTAACTACCATGAAAATATGTAAAACAGTGAGAAGGTCACCAACAAACAAACTTTCGTGTGTCAAACATCTTCATCAATTAACTTTATAATGTTAGACACCTTGTTCCCTTTGCGGCAGCAAGATGTCTGACGAATTAAAGTTTACTGGTGCAATATATATATATATATATATATATATATATATTGGTTAGAGCCTGTCATTATAGGTGGAGCGATATTTTAAAAAAATAGCAAAAGGCAAGAACACAGGAGCGACATTATGAAAACACCCTCTTTCCACAAGTGCTCAAAACGGCATCAAAGATAATAGTGCAAAGGACACACGGGACACGAATAAGACGGAGCAAGTGCTTCTTTTTCTTCTTTTTTTTGTATCCTCGTCTTCTCTTTGCGCTATTTATGTTTATTATGATTTGCCAACTAGACTGCCTTGATCAACAGTTTAATAGTTCTTCACGAGCCATTGTAGCACCGTTATCGAAGGTACACTGTCCCAACGCCGTAGGTATTAGGGCCATGCAGTGTTTCTTTCAGTGCCCCATTCTACAGGCTTGATCAGGTACTGCAATTCAGCTGCACTAAGGTCAAATTCTCGTAACACAAAAAAATATATATTTAGCAGTCCACGTATTAAATAGTTGCGCCGGTTAACACAGGACACCGGGGCAGAGATGTCAGGCAGCTTAGACTTCCTGAAACCTACTCACTTGTGCCACTTAAAACCCGTAACACACGGGCAACTCGAATGTCATTTACAACGAATGACATTTGAACGATCGGCCAATCAGCGCGCGACACTCCGAGCGTGGGGCGTTCCACGCGCAACAGATCGCAAGCCGATTCGTCAATCACACAATGTCATTCGTTGTAAATGGCATTCGAGTTGCCCGTGTGGCACGGGTATAATTCAAAACCGGTTTAATGTATTCGCGTCACAATCTCATATATAAGATACTTTGAGCTGGAAACAAGCCATATAAAATTAAAATGCCATAGCCCTGTATTATCAATAAACACCTGCCCCTCTGAAAATTGGAGCCATCCATGGATCGACATCTGGTGGTTAGCCCACTACAACCCAAAATGAATTACCGAATTACTGCAGATGCGTCTAAATTTTCACGACCTAAAATATTTTTACGACAAAACAGTATGTAGTCATCGATAGGAAAGAGTAGCAGAACAAGTTTCCTGGAGTTTACCTGAAGTTCCAGTAGCGCCCGTCCGTGTTCTCGTACTCCACGTGACGGTTAGCGTACGGGGTGCCCCGGAAGTTTCCCAGCCAGACATCGTAGCCGGAATCCGCCAAGAGGAAGCCTGGGGAAACAAGACACTCAGCACCGCACATATTTTGCATGCATTAATAAAGTAGTGTAGAAAAAAAAGACGTCTAGAAAAAACTTCGGCAGAGACACTTAAGGCTGATTACGTGTAGGAATGTGAAAGCACTCCTACACGCAGCGCATTCGTACAGGCAGCGCGCCACGTCTTCCTTTTTCAGATTGCACTCCGGCGTTGACACCAGGCTCCCCCACTGCGCAGGCGCAGCGCGCGCGCCGGCTCCACGGCTTCCGTGACGATGCATGTGCGTTGCTGTGCTTCTCTTTGTGTTATATTTCTGTGGCGAGTGGAGGAGGGGGGAGAGCGGCGGCCGGGCGAGCCTACGTTTAGAGCGGGGGGGTTGGAGGTTTTCTCTTTTTGGGGCCGTTTGTGTGTCGCGTCCGACGTTGAATCGAGGATCTGACCAAATCGCTGAAAATATCGTAAGATTGTATTTTTTTGCAGAGCACGGGGAGCCGATGGAGGCATTGATTGGCGGCACCGGCCAACCGCCGTGATTGATTCCCAACGTCGTGGATATATGTAAAGGTCAATGTTAAATACTGATTTTTAATATCAAGGTTATTTTTTATAATCTAACAAGGTTCGATACATATTTCGGTGGAACGCCAGGTTACGTCGTATCTGAGTCAATTATTCGTGCACTTCACAAACATTAATAGTGTCATATTACGGAATAACATCATAAAGTTATAGCCGGCAGCGAGACTAGCAATTATATTGTTGTTTCGGCGTCTTCATTGCGTGTGATCAGACATTTTTAAAAGTCTGAGCATTCAGTAGGCGAAGGTAGATGGCTCATGTTTGCATTTTTTGGAGTTGACTGAATACATTTCTGTCATCTTGCGTCAACGTTTTAGGGAAATTCCGTCGAGGGTCCTGGATGTCTTCCAAGGTCCACCACCGCATATTGTTGCGGCTGCTACCTTGGACTCCTCTCGTGGCGGTTCTCAACACGGTTTACTGCAGATAAACCTGGTCAAATGTTTTATTTAAATTTTTTGTTCGTATTGGGGCACTTGAATTAGGGCTCTTGATGTTTTCTATTGTCTTGGCGTGTGTGGTTTTCGTTCATTTCCAAGAGAAAAATTTAGTGCATACTCCGGTAAATTGATTAAAGCACACAAGGCGCTTGCGAGTGTCTTTTGCGGTGTTTTATTTTTCTTCTTTTACTGCATTCACGTTTTTGTGTACTGTTTTTCTGATGTCTAAATATAACATGTATTCAATTTTACTCTGGCAAATAACTTCGGCAAAAATATTTACATATTTGCCGAAGTTCGGCATTCGGCAGTTAGTGCTGGCGGTCATGGGAGTCGGCTGTGGTGCCGAGTAGCTACTCACCTGCTGCCGTTCTTCTACCCCTTTACGTAGATTTGTTACTCACCTAGGTAAATCGGGGTGACAAATATAAACTTGCTTGGTGAATACAAAGTGCTTGCTAATCTACGATTACCTCCTGCTAGTGCCATGTGATAATTTTTGGTCAAAGGTGTAGCTTGTCAACAGTTAAAATGGTCACGTCAGATAAGTATAGTTAATGCTGTTCAACGCTGGCATCAGTGGCCCATCAAATGCTCCAAATACGTCTTAGATAAATCAAATATTTCTTCAAACTTTTCTTTATATTGAGGATGAGAGGTTTCAATTTTATATCAAATGATTCCTACATTTATTTCGTTTCAGGCAGGCTGTACAATCTACCCGGTGGCTGTCAGCTCAAGCCTAATTAATCCTGAGGTGCCCAGCTATGTGGTAGTGGAGGGAGACCTCGAAGCCGCGTCGCCTGCTCGGGCAGTCCTGTTTGCATTCCGCCTCTATTTCATCTTTAGCTTTGAGTACCATCACAAGTTCAGGCGCAGCTTCATTGTATTCGAGTACTTAATTGCTCGGAAACACTCAAATTTGGAGTCACGTGCACCACATTGCTTTCAAACCTAAAAGAATGCAAAAAAGTATTTTCTTTTTAATGCCCTTTTATTCAGGTTTAGAGATGTTTTATGTAGTTTGTTTAATGTGTTTTTTCTTCTTTTTGTTTGTCTTACATAAGGCAGGATGGTTGATTCTGAGAGTTACAGAAAGGAACTGGACCTAATGCCGTGAACCCGAACCGGAACCGAACCGATAAACATTTCGGTTCGACACTCTGGAAGAGATTAAACAGTCGTTGCGGGAGGTGAAGGCCACATTGTTTATTAATTTGAGGTTACTGAACCTGACATAACGTGACGTCAAGTTTACCGTCAAATATAGCAAAGAAATTTACGTCAACATGACCTCTCGGTGTTGTTGTAGTGTCACGTAAACTGACGTAATGCCAGGTCACGTGGTTTGATGCCGCCGTGTCAGCTCGTAGTGTCACGTGCTAGTATGATGGCACGCGACTTTAATGAAAATGCACGGACGGCCGGACAGATGAATTTCTGGGAGGGGGTTCCGTTAAAAAGAATTCCATGCCTTGAAAACTTCAATATAAAAGCAGCCGATGGAGGTGTTTTTTTTGTTTTTGTTTTTTTAGACTAGCTTACAAACGCGAGGTCTATGGCTAAGGTTTCGTGCTTTCCGATAAATTCGAAAATCTCCAAAAAACACCCGCCGGTAAAGTTTCGGTCAATTCGGATTTATCCGATAAACTTCGAAGCTTGATGTGGCAATGCTTTCTCCCTCCCTCCCCCCCCCCCCCCCCCCACACACACACACATTAAGAAAATAAAAAAAAAACACGGTGTTTTACAATAAAGTTTGATTAGCGCACAAGGTCAATTGTCATGGAAGCGTCCACGAGTTAACTTACAAATTTCGCACCATTGACAAAAGGAGTCTTCCGCTTATCTCGTCTAGGTTTATTCAGGTCACGACAAAAGCCACTGTTTTGGTTTGCACTTTGTGTCATATTATTTGTGCCTTACTGTATCAGTGACAACGATGGACCACACAGATTGCATAAAATAGAAAAGAGGGGCAAATAAAACATTAGATCCTTTACCAATCCCCATCGCGCGGCCGCGGGGTAGGTTGGTGGAATAGAATGGGATGAATACGCGCTTCCCAGCGACGACCTCCGGGACTTTATTAATTTTAAGGTATCGAAGTTTATCGAAGCAACGCCTGCGTGCAATTTTTGTCCCGAAACAAATTAGTATTGCCCACTGCAGTGGCACCAATGCCAAATCTAGCTGAATAAATAGTAAATGATACAAGCGCGTTTTACTTTTTGTCTTACATACGTTTACGCAAGGATATGAGTTATTTTCTTCTTCATTTTAAATAGGAAACACTGCAAAATTAACCTCCGAATTTCGAAAAAATGGGAATTAAACAAAGATAAACTCCAGTAAACAATAAACTCCCGAAAGCACTCTCCGAATATGATGCTGGATAAACCCCAAAAGCACGGAATCCTATCATGACGCACCCAGGCTCTGGTTCGGGTGGTTGATGACCCATTCGACAGCCGAAGAGAAGAGTCCGTGAACGAGCAGGACTGGAGGCGGGCTCTTCCAGGACGTCGCGGAAGATCGGCCGTGCGGTATCCGCTGCAGGCTGAGCACGTAACCATCCTGCGTGACCACCTGGTGCTCCTCGGCGGCGTAGCCCTTGCTTCGAATCAACTCGGCCTGCGCACGAGTCGTCGCCAACCACTAGTACCAAGGTAGTTTAAGTGTCCGTACTTTGAAATGTTTACTTATTGGCTCGAACGTTCTCTCGTCTCATTGAAATGCCGTGCCACTGAATCAAACTACAACGAGACCAGAAAAAAAAAAAAACACTTTTATATGCTAAAGGCATTAATCTGTCGTAACACTAGATTGATGATGTGAAATGAACAAAATATTGTTATTAAACTTGTATGTCGGTTCTGGTTGTGCTCACGAACTGCTCCCTAAAGAAATTCCTACATTGACAATATTTTTTATTTATTTATTTATTTGCAGATATCACTACCCTTTCACGGAAGGCATTATAGGACCGGGGGAAAGGTACAATATGAGGGATATCGGTGCCAACAAAGTTATTCACAACTGTACTAACAAGAAACCACAATTCACAGTTCACACAATGCTAACACAACAAAAAGTAGCAACAATAGAAAGACAATGCTCGGTCAGAAGTTATCACCTACCACACTCAAGTGCAATGAAAAACAAAATTCAGAGCACTGAAGAAATGAAAAACATCATTCACACGTAAACACGGTAATTCAAGATTTTTAGACCAGAATATGGGGTTCATTTCTATAATAAAAAGAGCGATACTTTAAATTATTGTGAAGATGATGCTCTTATAATATCAAAAGGTAATTCAATCCACTCGTTTACGGTGTTAAGAAAAATTAAAACGTGAAGTAGTCATTATGACACTTATATTCTGCAAGTGATAAGCTATGGTAGTTTCGTGTGCTTCTCGCAAATTTTAGAGAGACATAGCGTGACTTGTATTCTAAAGCCATCTTTGATCAGTGTGTATAAGAAAGTGAGACTTAATTTTCCTGTGCGTTTGAAGGGGCTGGAAACCTGCTACGCCGTAAGCTGTACTCACGGAATCTACCCTTTTATATTTGTTGTAAATGAATCTAAGGGCTTCCTTTTCTATTCTTTCAAGTTTGTTTATGTTTGATGACGTGTGCGGATCCCAAATAATATCGGCATATTTTAAGGCCACGGTCCCACTGAATGTGGCAGTTTAGGTACTTTTTGGCAGGCCATTACTCATCTAATTTTAAACACTGTTTTGTGGGATTGATGTCATTGGAAAGGCAATGCAGTCCTCTTTCATTTGATATTATGTATGTGTTGGATTTTACTGTTCATGCGCATTTGTAGCGTTGCGAATATGATGGCGCGGACCCTCACTTGCTCCGCTAGTTCATGTTTTATGAACGATCCATTAAAGATAGCACGGTTCCAATATAGCAGTTTTGTTAAGATGATGTCGGAGCAGAATCTAACGATCCACTTTTTTGATATTTGCACTACTTTGTTTTTTTCATCCCTCCAAGTATTGTCCTAAAATTGACATTTTTCAGCACAAATATGTTTTTAATGACAAGCGCTAGGGCAATGAAATTAGCTACAGATGTAGTGCTTATAATTGTTAATATGCAGACAAAAATGTAATGTTGTGTAAAATATTTTTGTTTAGATATTTTAAATCAAACGTAGCACTTTTTTGTGCTTCGAGTCGTGGTAGTTCAAATGCCGCTGAAGAAATAATTAAACTATGATAAAATATTTTATAACATTTAGAGCTACAATGGTTGCCCAAGAGGTGGACGATGGCTTTTTTTCATTTTCAAAGTCATAATGCTCCAGGAGCCCTTCAAACTTACCTGTTTTTGACGCATATCTGTTTTGGACATCACACAGATTTATTGGCATTTAATAACATTTATTGTTTGGAATAGATATACATTGCGATATATTCAATTTTCACAATGATCTTGCTTTGGTTTCTTATTAGGTGTAGAGCTTAGCTAATTTTAAAAACAATTAAAAACTGTTTGGGTGTTTTGTTGCGCTACCTGGCGGATGGCAGACAAACTGCTGATTTCTAGTGTTCAAAAAATTTCCGAGGGCGGCGTTGGCATCTGTATCATCATCAATCTCCGTGTCTTTTTACCTTCACATTTAAAAAATATATTGGAAGATTTACTATCGATAAATGAATGGTTTAAGTATTGGGTCAGGCTAATAAATCTAAGACAAATAATTACACAAGCGTAGCGTGATATAATGCGTTCATTATTCGATATGATTGAAATCAATAAACAATAAAGACGAAGAGGAAAATAATACACCCGAGTTCACTTTATGCCTAAAGTCACTACATGAGCTTTAAAGTATCGACACTCAGTTCCCCAAAATTGGTTTGGGCGCCGCCATTTTGGGTCTTGCTCAGAGCAAACGCAACTGCCGATCATCATGATCCAAAAGTACGACTTCCTCAGCATTAGATTCGGTTCTAGGAAACTGATGCAATATTGAAATGCTCTGTCGCGGGTTGTTTAAACATTTGTGAGAGACGGAAAAGCGTTTCCTGTGATTTTAGATAAAGCTCCATATAACTGGCAACCATGATTTTAAGCCGCAATTTTAAGCCAAGTGTCGTTACTCGGAACCGCAAGCTAATTTACTGGCACAAGCGGGAACAATGAAGAAGAGGCAGGTGTCAAAAGGTAGTGGCTTGTGGAATCCACGGGGCTTACGTCATGGCCCCCCAAGTATTGCAAGCCTCTTGAACAAGAGCATGAATAGTGTCATTAAATAAGCTACGCTTCAGAGTAGCGACACTTGACCTTATTGTGGCTTAAAATCATGGTTGCCAGTTATTTGAAGCTTTATCTGAAATCACAAGAAACGCTTTTCCGTCCTCCACTTTAAACAGTTTTCGACAAAGCAAAGCAACATTACATCAGCTTCCTAACACCGAATCTAATGCTGAGGACGTCGCACTTTTGAATCATGACGATCGGCAGTTGCGCCTGCTCTGCAGAAGCAACAAAATGGCGGCGTTCACAACACTGTCGGGGAAGAGAGTGCCGATACTCTAAGCGCAGCTCATTTATTGGCTCTAGTTCGCGCGAAACTCCTTTTCCCTGACTGAAACTGAAAGTAAATATGAATAATACACCATCATTATAGCTTATTTAGTTACAACAAAATACACATAATGAGAGGAGGAAGCGGGCGGGTAGGAGAAACGCGGGTTTTATGTCTGCCGCCCACCGTGAACGACTGCAACACTCACGACCCGGCAGAACCATTGTCAGTCTGATTCAAGCACTTAAACTCCCGCTTCCCGACTTCCCAGAAAACGACCCTCCTTGGTTAGACTACATCGACCTCGTAGAAGGCAAGTCCATCCCAAAGAACGCGAGCTTGAGACATCCAGATCGTCAGAAATCGCAAGCCAGTAGCCAAAACAAACGAATACAGACCTGGGAAAGCTCGGCGGAGAAGCTAGCCGTCTACACAGACGCGGCTTTCGCGACACTCCCAGACCAACTTGCTACGGTCGCAGTGGCAATACCAGGAAAAGGAATTATATCTTCCAAACAATTACCAAACAGCACCTCCGTCAAGGGTGGCGAACTCGGAGCGATTCAATATGCGATTGAAACAGTCCTCAACAACACAACCATTAGACCAAAAGAGCTCCACGTTTTTACGGACTCGGTAGCCTCGCTCACCGAGTGCAGAAATAGGAACAGCCCCTGCAAGAGAGCAAAATCCATAAAAGAGATGGCCCTCCAACTTTCTCTGCAAGGTACAAAAGTCCAGCTGTCCTGGGCGCCCGCCCACGCAGGCATAGCTGGCAATGAGCAGGCCCACTCTGCAGCTCGCGCGCTAATAGTTACACTCCGCGAGACGCAGAAGCCGCCCTGCCACCTTCACGATCACGGCTACGCATCTTCCTCACCCGAAGATGACGAAGACGACTATGACCCCGACGAAGCTAAACAGCAGATCAAACTTTCGTCCCGTACTGCGCTGAAGGAACACCTTCCACCCATCTCCGACCCACTGCCGCGAGGCTTTGGGCGGAGAACGAGGGTGCTCTTAAATCGCATTAGAACCAATACCGCCTGCACGCCGAACAGAAGAGCAGCGTGGGGAAAGGCGCGCACACCACCGACATGCTGCTACTGCAAGGACCCCCAACATGCGGTCGACCTAGTTCACCTGTTGTGGGGCTGCAAAGGCCTTGAGGCAACAAGGAAGAAGCACTTAGAGGACGGGGTGACATCCATGGAGGACTGGGTCTTTCCCCCAGGCCCTCCAGATAAGCAATATCAAACTCTACGCACGCTTCTGGATTATATCCACGAAGCTGGCATAGAAGTACATATATAATTCCCTTCCCCCATACCGCGAGTCCAGGCCGCGATGACATTGACTTATTCCTCTCCCCCTCCCCCTTAAAGCGGTTCAAATAAACGTTTTATACTACTACTACTATGTGCGACCGTTCTAACCGTCTCAAAAGAAAGAACGCACGAGCTAGCGCTGGTTTAAAAAAAAAAAAAAAAGAAGGCACCAAAAGGAAAAAATTGGGTTCTAGGCTGTTTATACAGCCTAGAACTTGGTCTGCCTCACAGGGGCGACGAGTCTCCCAGCTGTAGATGAGAAATTTAGCCAGTGCGGTACAGCCGCTAGCCTGGGGTCTTTAACGTGCATCACGCAGTAGTGATACACGACCGCACGCCGGTACGATGCTCATCCAGATCGAAACGGGCAGGGGTGGGGCTCGAACCCAGGATCCCTGGGTTCTGCAGCGCGAGCTTTCGCTCCACGTGCTCCGAGCTGGTGTGCGCTAGACCACTCGGCCACCGATCCTTTTTTTTTTTTCTTTATTGTCGGCCACCGATCCCCCTGCACCAAAAGAAAAGATGCGGCACGCTGTGTTCTTCGTTATTATGCGTCCAATTGCAAATTGTTGTGTGTATGTTTATACAGCCGGAAGTTAGTCTGCCTTAGTGGGCGTCTGGTGTCTCAGCTGTAGATGAACAATTTAGCCAGTGCGGTACAGCCGCAAACCTGGGGTCTTTAACGTGCACCACGCAGTAGTGATACACGACCGCACGCCGGTACGATGCTCTTCCAGATCGAAACGGGCAGGGGCGGGGTGGGTTCTGCAGCGC